AAATAAATTTCTGTGCCATGAAGATGAAAAAGGTTGAAAATCACTGCCCCAATCCCATGGCTGGGGTCCTTCTAAGAAGAGAAAATGTAGACAGAGTCAGAGACACTGGGAGAACGCCATGTGAATTTGGAGGCAGCGATTGGAGTGATACCTTCACAAACCAAAGGACGCTACAAATCCCGGGGGGAGGGACACAGAGCTGCTTCTCACTCAGAACACCCCGAAGGAAGCAACCCTCCGCCGCCCACTCCCCGCCCCCCGCCCCCCATGCTAATACCTGGACTTTGGACTTCTAACATCTTGGACTGCAAGAAAATACAATTCTGCTGTTTAATCGCCATTTGTTATAGCCGCCCTAGGAAAAGAGTACAGTTTCTTACATGTCAATTCAAGCCCAGAATGCCTCTTTTTCCTCGCCTAAAACCAGCAGACTTCTTCAGAACCCATTCTCAGAATCCTCCTCTCTGGGGTCGGCCCAGATCTGGTTAGGAGGCTTATTGTATGAGTCCATCTGGCAGCTGCCTCAGGAGGCGATGGAGGCCAGTAGGTGAGTGAACAGCTCATTCCTGGGGCCCTCAGAGAAGGCTCTGTGAAGAAGAGGCCTGAGAGAGAGAGCAGAAACTGGAGATATAGGGTAAGTAGCTTCTTTGAGAGGGAACAGAGAGCAGTGCACATAAAAGCACCTGGCATGATAAGGCGTGGTGTTTATTACATTGTAGGTGGTCAATTCATGGTAGCAAAGAAAGTGAAAGGATGCAAGCTATCCTGGAAGCAGCTGAACCCAGGCAAGAACCACTGTAAATTTGCTAGATACAAGTTTTAGGCAAGAGCATTGTTAACTACATTGACTTGAGTGAATTGTCAAAGGCAGTGGGGGAAACCAAGCCTTTGGCCTCAAAAGTCATGGCTTCTGGCTTTGACTCTGCTGCTTCCTAGTTTTTGTGAAGTTGGGGAAAATCATTTCTCTCTCTGAACCTCACTTTTCTAACTGTAAAATGGAGATGATAAATGTGCCTTAGCTTACACAGGACACAGATGGAATGGCAACGAATTTGCAAGTGCTTTATAAACTGCAAAGCACAATATGAACGTAAAATATTATCCATCTTATGGCCACCAGGCCAATCTCTTTACCATCCTGTGAATGCCCCATACCCATTTGTGCCTCTGAGTTTTTGCTCATGGTCTCTTTGCCCACTTGCAAGTCCCTCTGTGTTGGTTACGATTAGAGTTGGATGCACGTAACAGAAGAGTCAAGGCAACAGAGGTATGTTTCTCTCTCATGTAATAGTCTGCCGGCTTCCCAGGGCTGGTGTGGGTGACTTAGGATCGTTGCATTTTGTTGCTCTGCTGTGTCTGGTTGCCATTTCCAAGGTCACTTTATGGCCCAAAGTAGCTGCTGGCGCTCCAGCAGGCATCCACATTTCAGCAAGGAGGGGTCAAAGAGAGGGCAGGCTTCCTGTCTTTAAAGACACTCTCTAACATTTGCATATGCCCCCTTTTTATATATTCTATTGGCCACAACTTAATCCCATGGGCACATCTATCTTCCAGAGGAACTGAAAAATGTGTTTTAATTCTGGGTGGTCATGCGCCCAGCTGAAACTCAGAGTTTTATTATCATTGAAGAATAGAGGGGAATATTTAGGAAGAACTAGCATCTCTACCATTCCACTCATTTCTCCTCCATGGACTCGTATTCCATTTTTCGAGATCAAGTCAAGCTTATCTGCAAAATAAGGGGTTTGGATCATTAGGAAGGTACCTAGCTAGTCCATAGGCAGCCAGCGAGCTAAAGGCTTTGACGTGAATCATCTCATTTACCCTGCAGTGCAGCTGTGGGGGAGGCGCTATCATTGCCTCTTATAGATGAGGATGAGAATTGTGGCTCAGAGAGCTGTGCAATGTCCTAGTTTAGGTTTCCTGGGACACAAACTCTGAGGTGGAGAGCAGCAGTTAGTGGGCAGGACAGGGATCAGAGAGCGCTCTGGGGGCTAACGCCCGTGCAAGAGAGGGAGGGGATGGAAGCAGGACTGGGCAGAAGGGAACGCTGGGCTGTGATGCAGTTCCAATAAAGCTCTCAGCTGGCTCCCAGGGACGCTGGAGCTAGGATAGGCCTGCAGAGCTGTCCCAAGCCAGCGCTGGGGGGACAGGCCTGTAGACCCTAATGCTGGTCACTCACTGAGCACAGGCTGTCCCAGGAAGAGGGCCTGACATTGGGCAAATCGCTCTCTTCAGCTAAGCAACCCCGGAGGAGGCTGAGAGCTGAGGGCTCCCTGCTGGCAGCACCCCCAGGACCCTGGAGGGATCAGGGTTCCCCACATCAAGCCTCTTGCCTAAGCTCGCACGAAGCAGCAAGTGACAGAGACGGGACTAGCACCAGGACATGTGACTCCTGCAGCTGGGCTTTCGCGGTTAAACGATTTGCTCCAAGTCACAGCTACCAGGAAATGCCCACCACGCAAGCAGCCTCCTCTACATGCCGAAGCACTTTGCTCTATTGCCTCTTTAGCGTCTCTGTGGTACCTTCTTCTGGAAACTGTGCCTCCGTGTTTCCTATGTACTGTGCTCTCTTCTCTCTGAACAAACTCCAGCCGTTAACAGTGACAGATCGAGTCAGTCAGAGCAGTGCTTTGCTGACCGTGTCTCCTGGGGGCTCAGCCCTGTGCCGGTGCAATCAGATTCCGAAGCCAGGATCCTGCCCAGCAGACGTGCAGCCTGCTCGGACAGCCAAGGCCACCACCCACGGAGGCGCTGGCGACTGTGGCAGGAGAGAGTGGTTGTGAGTGCTGCCCGTGAGCCCTGTCTGTCTGCTTTCAGAGGCCGGGAGGCCACCTGCTGGGTAGGAAGCCCTGTGCTCACGCCTCCTCTGCTCTCCTGCCCATCACAGCCTCCAGGAGGCTGGAGCCAGACTGTCATCCCTTGGACCCTGTCGGGTGCTCAGTACGTAGGAAATGGTTTCAGAACGTCAGGACTGGAGGGAGGCAGTCCCATTTCTCATCTCAGAGGTGAGAAAACAGAGGCACAGGAGGCACCATGACCTGCCCAAGGTGACGGCCAGGTGGCAGAAGCACGGCCGGGCTGAGAACCGGTTTCTGACCCCTAGCCCAGTCGACCGCCCGAGCTGCCCCTGCTCAAGGAGGGCAGAGGCACCGATGCAGGCTTCAGGCTGGTCCCTGCCTGCTGGCATTCTCAGCAAAGCACTCAGGACCGTCACTGTCACAAGAGGAGACAAAACATCCGATCGGGAAGAGCAGGCCCCTGGAGACACCCCACAGAGCTCTATAGCTGATTGCCACCAGGCCCAGCGGCCTCCTTGCTCGTCCCAGGCGGCTGCTCCCAGAAAGGGGGTGGGGAGCAGAGACCACAAACGTTCTTTCTGTCTCGGGCTTAGCACCTGGGGCTGCAGACAAAGCCCCGTCGCTGGGAAGATTTAGGGGTGATTCTGTAGGAAGCCAGAGTGTAACAAGCTTCAGATCAATGGCTCACTACGCAGAAAGCTTCTGCCCACCACCCGAGAGAGGCTCCCTCACACGCTAACCCGCATCTTCCCCCTGAAACATCTTAGCCCCATGAAGCAATAAAACAGTCTGGCCTAAGTTACTGGACCTCTTTGAAGTCCTGGAGAGGCCCATAAATAAGGCAGGTCCCCGGGATGGGGGGCGTTCATTTCGAGGGATCCCCATACAACTCTTTCAGAGTCTCATTGATTTGTAGCCACCTCTAAGTCAATTTCCTGGGGCTCATAAATCTTGATGGGAGCAAAACTAAAATGTCATCGATATTTATTTGATGCATTTCTTACCACTCCATAGGAGAGGAAGAAGGAAAAAAATGTCGGCATTCTCACCCGCCACCCCGGAGCAGGCATGGGACGCGGCCGATCCCCACGCCTCGAAGACCGCTCCGTCGTGAACCATAAACCCCGGGTAACAAATGTTCCATTTCATGGTCAGCAAGAGTGGTAACTGTCACTGGAGAAATAAAATTGAGTTATTGTTTCCAGTTTCAAAAGAACAGCAACAAGTTTAAAAAAAAAAAAAAGAAACACAACTGTATGCGATCCCTGTCCTCTTCCCCTCAGACACCTGCAGCCATCTAATGTTTCACCGAATCCTGCCACATAAATGCATAGCTTCACTCACTAATCCATATGGCTCCAGAGACCACTGTTACATGAGAACTTAAACTGACGGGGCCAGGCAGCCCAGGGCAGCTTAATCTTTTTTAATTCAAATCGACTGAGTCCCATGTGGCCCGGAGATGATACCCTATATGCTGCAATCAGACTGACCTAGACTGCTCGTGCTCTAAATGATTAATGAAACTGCCTCGAGTTTGTTTCTATGGTGATTGGAAACCCGACCCGGACAGAGGAATCTGCCATTCACGGTGAACAGAACGGAAAGGGGGGCACTGGGGACCCAGCCGCTGGTCGTGGAGGGAAGATGCCCAAAGGCTTCGAGTTCCTCTCCCTGGCCTGACTCAGTGCAGGGAGGGGACAGGGGGAAAATGACCCTCTTAGGGAAGTTTTAATGCAACCAAATTGCAGAATTGTTTTTCCCCCCTCAAAGAATCTAAAACGTGTAAGTATTCCTAAAGCCACTGACTGAACAGTTGAGGGAAGATAGCATTTAACTCACCTTTGGGTTCTTAAAATAAGTACATGAATAAATAAAAGAAAACCGTGAAATCCTGGATCCCTTCTTTAGAATGAATGGTTTTGCCCTGTGAGGAACATTACCAAACCAGCTCAGACCTCACATTACCTGTTTACTCTTAGGTCATGTGCGGCTTTGTTTCTGGTCCTCATAGGAAATGGGTCATATTTGGGCTTCGCCCGGCAGAACTTGCTGTCAGAACTGGCAGTGGCAGGCAGGGTGGGACTCCGGGGAATTAGGTGCTGCTGGTAGAGAAGCATTGCGTATGAATGGTTAGTGCCAAAGGTCACCGGCTGCCGTCCACCTGGGGGAACAGTTGGGTCCTGTTTAAGGATGGAGCCCATCCTGGCTTTCCTATTGGAGCCCCCACACCCTGCTCAGGTGCCCCAGCGTTACAAAATCCTGAACCTTTAAGAGGTCTAAAGCAGGGAACACCAAAGAACATACCTTGTGAATTAAACATCTAAGGCTTAACCAGTGTGGCTGTTGACTGAGGGAGAATGACTATGAAGGTTGGTGGGGGCATTGCTTCCCTCCTGCCCACCTACCTTTCTTCACATGGGCACTGGCCACCTCCTTAAACACACTGTCCCCTGCCTCTGAGCCTTTGATGGTCCATGTTCCCAAACTTGACTAAGACACGCAGGGCCCCCCAAGGTTTCTTCCCACCTCCCCATTCCAGCTCTATCTCCCATTCATCTCCGTCAACTGTTCTCTGTATGTCCTTCACGAACGTCCCATTCTCTGCCTTTGCTTTGCTGTTCCCTCTGCCTGGAATGCCCTTCCCAACTCCATGTGCTGGAACAATCCTCTCTGTTCCCCAAGACCCAGCTCACATGCCACCTCAGCACCTGGGCATCCCAGCTCCTCAGCCATAGGCTTTCCTTCCCCGCGTCATGCCTTTTGTAATAGTGTGTCCCAGGCTCTGCCGTGTGTGATGGGACATCTGCCCCCAGTTACAGAGCTTGGCACATAGTGTGTGCTCAATCCATGTTTGGTCGATTGAACTTCTTCCACCCCTACTCCTTGGTCCCTGGCTCCACTGACTGCTAGCGGGACATTCATCTGGCCATTATATCTGCTGTCCCCTGATAGTCACTGTTAGCTGTCTTTGCGTGAGCAAAGGCTTCCTGACCTTGTGGTTCAGCAAACACTCAGGGTTCCTGGAAAGCAACCAGTCACTGCTCTGACCCAGCGGGAGCTCATCTGGCCCGTTTCTCCAGATTGAAATCTTCCCTGTGTTAGGCCTGAGCTAGGACCACCGGGCAGAGTGCTGCTTGGAGGGTCTGAGCCTGGCCTCTTACCCTCGCCCCTTTATGGAGACTTGGCCGTGCCGGGTGCACCTGTCAGGCAGCGCCCTCCTCTGCCTTTGGCAGGGGAAGGAGAACCTGAGGAAGAAGGGGCCTCAGCCAGCCTCTCGCCCATCCAGTCAGATGTATTCACCAATTACCACTGGTAAGCAATCCCTGGCCTTATCTGACTCTCCCACGGAGGGGGTATCATGTGTGCCTGTTTCATTCTCTGGGGACACAGGTGTGGGGCCCTGGCGGGAGGCAGTGGCATCCAGATGCTTAGGGACAGATATTTGGTGAGCAGGGACAGGGTGACTGCTCCTGGCAAGTGATAAGCCTGAGTGAGTGGTGTCGCCAGCATCGTCTCCATTCACCAAATTGCCCACCCAATTTCTCACCTGGAGTCCCCAGGCCATTGCCCAGAGCTCAGGGAGTCCTCGCTCACCGGGCCCAGCCTCTGTCTACTCATTTGTGAAGTGGACAGGTCGCTATCCTTGAGTCGGTAGCACTCTGTAAGGTAAAGAATATCCCTCCCCTGCTCCCCTTATCCCCCCTTGCACCCAACCAAAATGCTCCTTGTCATGCTGTCCATTTTAAAAATCACATTTCATTTTGAGGGGTTCAGAAGAAGTGCCATTGCCTCCATTCAGAGGGCCTTCCCTGGGTGATGTAAGGGCTCTGCACTGCTGGGGCCAGGCCAGGCAGGGGTGGCAGGGTGGGAGGCTGGGCCACCAGAAGTTGGGGACCCAGTCAGCTGCTGAGGTGAGGAATGTGAGATGTGCAAGAGATGTGGTGAGAGGGAAGTGAAATCATGAATATTTAGAAGCGGGGGAGAGTGGAATTCAATCTGACACTGATACACACACAGGAGGTTGGATTGATAGCAATAATCTAAAATTAGAAGCAGTCTGTCAGGGGCGTTTAGAGCTCAGGCCCTAGAGGCAGCCTGGGTTAAACACTCCGAATCTGCCACTCACCCGCTGAGTGGCCTTGGGCAGGGCACTCCACCTCTCTGTGCCCTCGGCTTCTTCATCTGTAACACAGAGATAATGAAGTACTTCCTTTATGGTGTGGCGGTGAGGACTGAGTTCACCAGGCAGTGCGGGCACACAGTGTGAGCTGGCTGCGTTTATAACTGAATGAAAGTCAGCATCATGCCCTTCCTAGACGCTGTCGGGTTCCTTCCTTCTCCTGACGCTCCTTTCCCTGCTTCCCAAATCCTCGGCCACCCTCCGTCTCCTTTTAGTTTGCTTTGGAGGGAAGGAGGGTGTGGTCCACCACTGTCCCACAGAAATCTAATGCAGAATGCATGAAATTTAAGACCTTCTAGAAGCCCCTCTCTAAAAGTAAAAATTAATGTTACTAACCTACATCACTTAACCCAATACATGTAAAATATTATCCTTTCAACATGTAATGAATAAAAAAATTGTGGAAGATATATATGTGTATATATTACCTCCTAATTACATGGATGGATGTATTACATCCATGTATATATTTTACATCCTAATCTTTGAAATCTAGTGCATATTTTATACCTACAGAATATCTTGAGTCAGGCACTAGATTGTCATCTGAAATACTTGATTGTATTTAGATTTCATTAAACTGACAGTTGAAAAGTAGCTCCACATACCTCAGTTGTTCCAAACAACTTGATTCAGCTTTCCAAGAACTGAAACCAGTATCAGTTTTTAAATTAAAATACAGTAAGTATTCAGTTTTTCAGATGCACCGATCACATGTCAGCGAAGATCTAGAAGTAGCTGTGGGAGGAATGAAGCTTGAACAAATGGTACCTGGCTGTAGGCACCTCAGACACAAGGAACAGAGACCCTGACAACACCCTGAGCTTGTCCCTAGTGGTGGTGGGGATGGGTGGGGAACAGGTGCACTGAGAATTTTCTTTACTCCTTTGAGAACCAATGCATACCAGCACCCACCATCCTCCAGGTGCCGTGCTTGGTGCCAGAGATGCAGCGTTAGTGCTCTGGACTGAATTGTGGTTAAAATCTATCTGCCACTTTCCAGTCTCTAGCCTCCTCTAACTTCCAGGGACCCTGACACCAGCCTGGCGCAGGAATCTGACTGCCGCTTCATTTTGATAACACGGTTGGTGAGGGCCTGCTGTGGGCCAGGCACCATGATTTCAAGTGGGGTGCAGCTTGATGGGTGACCAGCACCTTTGGGTGGGTTGGAACCTCTAGCTCCCTATTGCTTCTGGCTGTGTTGGAAGCCTGTGGCTTTCCCCTGGCCCCATTCAACCGGACCTCCCTATCGCCCCTCCTGTCATATCCACCTGGTCACCATCCTCAGCATAAGCGTTGGGGTGTATTTTGGCTCCGGATCTTTGCTAATGACCTTCCCATTGATAATCCTCACCATTTATTCAGATCCTACCTGCTGTCAAGGTTCTCCTTCTCCAATCAGCCTTCCGGCCCGCGTGATCTCCTTTTCCTTGTATTCATAGCTCTTGCTATGTTGGTGGTGAGCTTGGAGCTACGAGGAGGGCAGGCAGCATTATTTAACGACTCACGTTCATGCTTTGTCTCACAGTGTCCCTGAGAGCTGGACTGCCTGTCATTCATTCTTCTATGAGTCCTACATTCACTCCCTTTCCACCTTTCTCTCCCTGCCCCTCTCAGCACCTGGGCACACAGGAGGTTTTCAGGAAATACCTGCTGATGAACTGGTAGCCTCGCCAGGAGGTCAGCACATGTCATAAAGCCTGGAAGCCCATTTCCCGGGCAATAACGTACCCACCAAGGATTTGCTGCTTCCACCATTATGTTCATACAACACAGGCTCCCGCTGAATCATTTGTGGGAAAATGAATTGCCCTGAAGCCAGCCTTCATTGAGTTCTCTGACAGAGAGCTTTCTCTTTCTACTGATCTGATTGGAGAAAACAAAATGCTTTGCTCCCTCAATTAAGACTTTAGTCACGTATGGAAATGTTTTGCTATGGAGCAAATGAATGGTAACAGTAATAACAGTAGTGAGCATCACTAACATCATGGATCACTTTCCATTTGCCAGACACTGTGTCAAGTGCTTCACACATATCATTTCATTTCATTCCTACAACAACCCACTGAGGGAGGTACCACTAGGAAGCCTGGGGTGAGGGAAGGCGTCAAGTGCTCATGCTTTGGGAATGGGCAGCCTGGCACGCCATTGCCAACTGTGTGATTTTTGGAGAGTGTGCTAACCTCGCGGTAAATTCCTGTGAGGAATGTAGAGATGATGTACGCAAAGTGCTTAGAAATGCACATTCTACTTTTTCAAAATATCTTAGCTGTTTTCATCATCAGCCCCCACTTTATAGATGGGGACACTGAATTACAGAGAAATTAAGTCGGTTGCTCCAAGTCCCAGAGTTAGCGATACCTTAAGATTTAAACCCTGTCTGACCTCATCATCCTTGCTTGTAATCACGACACTACAATGAATACAAATTTATTCATCTTCTTTGCCCCGGGTCCTGTGCTGGACAGTCAGCAACCAATGATCTCATTCAATCTTCCAAATAATTCTGTGAAATGAATTTATCTCCTGGGCAGGAAGGGGCCTGTCGGGGCTGCCAGCTGGAGCAGTATACGAGGAGGATGGTCCCTCCTGGGTAAGAGGGGGCTGCCCCACAGACCCATCCATGGAGTATTGGGCCAGGTGGGAAGGACAGGTCTGGGGGTTACGTAGGAGGGGCGTCAAAGAAAAGCGTTCATGAGAGGTCAGGGAAGTTTTCCTGGAATGGAAGTTCCACCTAAAAAGGGAAGGCTGCTGCTCTGGTGGGAAGGGTAGGTCTGGGGGTTACATAGGAGGGGCGTCAAAGGAAAGCATTCATGAGAAGTCAGGGAAGTTTTCCTGGAATGGAAGTTCCACCTAAAACAGCTGCAAACTTGGTGAAAACAAGGGTGGGTTTTTTTGTCTGTTTTGTTCACTTTTATGCTAGAACTCACACAGTACCTGACATAGAGTAAGTGCTTAATAAATATTTACTGAATACATGGAAGGTGAGCTCAAGTTATGCTCCAGGCAGAGAAAACAGTGCGTGCAAAGGCCCAGAGGTACAAGCGAGGGGGCCATTGGGGGAGCACATGGATTGAGCCTCTTCTCAACCATGGCAAGCCGTCTTCTAATACAGGTGGGGCTCCCGCTGGGCAGGGCTGGATGTGAAGGCTCACGGGAGTCCAGCTGGCTAAGCAGGGTAGCAGTTCACCCCAGGGCCTGGGGTGAAGCCCTCAGGAGCAATGAAGAGGACTGCCCTTGCATCCTCAAGCACAGGTGGGATGATGGCAGGAGGCAGACAGACAGAGGAGAGCCCAGGCGGGTGGCACAGGAGCCAACCCCCAGCACCACAGATGTAATGCCAGAGAAAAGTTCAAGGAAATAGAGGAGGTGCTCACTGTAGAAGGTGACAGTGTCAAGTGAATGGGAAAGACGTGTTCTTCTTTAAGAGTGACACTGGTTAAGAGGAAATTCATCTCAATAAGTGTTTCTTGATTGCTTATTGGAAAATGGTTACAGGTGGGAAGTTAGAGGCCTGATTTTGCAAAGCTCTCTGTACCCTCCTCCTACTCTGCTCTTATATCTCTTCTTTGATTTATAAGCTGTGTCAGCTTAGATGCCAACTTCTCCAGGACACCTTCTAATCCTCAAGCCATTCCATCTCCCATCACCCCACCTGCAGACCTCACACATCACAGGAAGCCCTTGTGCTTTATGCTGCAGAGAAAAATATCTGTTAAAATACCCATGTCCACTAGCACAGCGCCAAAGGCCTGAGGCACATTTTGTTAAATGTGAAAGAGAGATCTGCAGCTCAATTGTCATCAATTGTAAAATTATTATATTAAATTAATATATTGAATAATTTAGTCAAATGGTTCAAAACCCAAAAAATACACAAAGACATACAGTGAAGTTAGGCTCCCAACTTGGTCCCCTCTGTCATATGTATGCTCCTTGCCTCAAAAACTAAACCAAACTAGGTACCACTGTTATTAGTTTTTAATATGTTCTTTCAGGGACTTCTAGGTATATATCAAGTACTATTTTTAAGATACAAATTATATCATTCCATATACACTGTCCTTCACTTTGCTTTTTTAAAAGCTTAACAACAGATCCTTAGAATCTTTCTATATTTGTACATAAAGTGCTTCCTTGTTTTATTTTAAAGTTGTTTAACATCATATTTTACAGAGGCACTGCAATTTATTTAACCACTACTCTATTGGCGGGTGCTTAAGTATTTAAGTTGCTTCCAGTCTTGTGTTAGTCTAAGCCGTACTGTAGTGAATAATCGGATATTTAGACAATAGTAAATGTGGTCTTAGAATTCATACTGTAGAAATAATACCCCCTCACTCACACACATACATACGCTCCTTATAGTTTAGAAGGCATCTTTTTTTTTAAATAACATTTTACTTTGAGATCGTCACAGATTCACACACAGTTGTAAGAAATAATTCAGAGATATCCCGTGTACTCTT